ACTGTTAAATTCAGATTCTTTAATAGAGTGTTGTGAATTAAAACTTTCTCTTATGGAAATAAACCATTATTTGCACTGATAACATGGTAGCCACCAAAACTATGCATTTCAAGTTCAACTAAGAAACTAAATTTCAATATTATTTCACTTTAATTGCCACATGTGACTAGTGGCAACTGTATCAAACAGCTGAGCTTTAAATGGTCTATTCCTGCTTTTAATAATAGCTGCTAAAATCATGGCAGCATTGGCAAGTAAGGAAAATGAAAATGAGTAGTAAGGGACCCATTCCAGAGTTTCATCATTAATTCTACTACTTTTTCCATTTTGATTGTGAAAAAAAGGAAAATTAATATCCCATATTAGTCAACAAAAGTGCAAAGATCCATAGCTATCATTCTAACCCAAAACTAAAGAAAATTCAAGTTATATGAATCAGTCTATAGTTCACATCTAATGAAATGCATCTAATCAATCTGAAGCACCTAACTGCACCTATCAGTTGGAACTAACTTTTACACCATTTAGCATCTCATTTTTTAAGCTTCATCTTGACTTTCTGTGAGTTGTCAAAACAGTTTTACATATCAGAAATTCCTAGGGCAAAAGAGATTCCAGTTTTATTGCTTTAATTTTTTTCTAAACAAAGTTACTTGGGCCATGGGAAAAGTATCAATGTTCAACTAATAAAATTCTAAACTGTTTAGCGTAAGTGAATTATTGTAAGTATAAAAGCACATTCAGAATTGGATCTATTTATCACAGTTTAAACCACTATTATATGGCCAAACAAGATGCACAACTAGAATTCTAGAACAGAACCTCAAAATTTTTTTCCTTTCTATGCAATCTTTCCAAATAATTCAAGGTGTTTTAGAAAAATGAAACATGGATTATAAATTTTTGAAGTCTTACCACCTAACACTCATTCCAAATCTTACACCAGTTTCTCTAAAACTTAAGTCAATACGTGGTATTACTTTCTGTGTTAAAATTACCTACCCAAATCCCTCTTATCTTTGGATCCATATTTTGATTGCCCAATTGTAGCACATCTTGTTCTGGGAAGCATATGCTGTTTTTTTTCCTGTTTTAAAAAAGTTCAAAAGAATTTAATGGTCTTGAAATAAAGAGTATTTCTACTAGGTTTCAAATTGGGCAAAAGCCCTGTGTGGTCATGTCTATGAGAGTTTGCCATGACACAAAAACTTGGCAGAATCTCTCTTCTGCCTATTAATCAGACCTATAATGCTCAATACCTGGCATTGTGTCCTAGTCTCATTTTCATTTGTGTTTTTGACAACAAAACTCCAAAACAATTTTATTCTCAATTTAAGCCAGGGACAAGAGGCACTCATTTGATAAACTATAATATTCTATCTAGACAGGAAATTCAAGTAATAAAAAGTTAACTAGAATTATTGCCTAATATAGTACAGATGATTTGGGCTTTTTCCCAGAATTCAATAGAATTATAGTATGGAATGTAATGAAGTAAAACAAAGACATCAGGCATGTGACTTCTAAACTCTTTATTATGCAGAGCACAAGTTTTCCTTGATATGTCTCCTTTTTCTCTTAAAAATGAAAGGTAAAAATACACCCCAAAGGCATATAATTGTTCTACTAACTATTGAAAATACATTTACTTCTTCAATATTAAAGGAAGGCTCACAAATGTGTTTTTCAAATCAAGTGACATACTTTACTTTAGCTTCTGATATACCAGGCATGCATATGCCCCAAAGATAACTTCCATGTGATATTAGTTTAAAAACTAAATTTTTCTAGTCAGAAAAAAAAAAAGTTTCATTCCGTCTAAAAGAAACAGTCCATTGTAAACAGTGATATTCTAGCTAGTACCAACAAAGGGGTATAAAGTATTTGGTATTAGAGATTTTATTTCAGAAGACAGATGTTTCGTCAGCACTGCAACCAACAGATGATACACTTAAAGTTAACATGACTTTGCTTATGCTTGAACCCTGGTTTTAAGAGATTTTATACCTAAAAAAGAAGAATGGAAATAACTGAAAATAAAAAACCCTGCCATATTTGAAAGGATTAAGTAAAACTGTGGTCAACTTTTTATTGTTTTTTGTTTGTTTGTTTGTTTGTTTGTTTGAGACAGAGTCTCGTTCTGTTGCCCAGGCTGGAGTGCAGTGGCATGATCGCGGCTCGCTGCAACCTCCACCTCCCTGGTTCAAGCAATTCCCCTGCCTCAGCCTCCCAAGTAGCTGAGATTACAGGTGCATGCCACCAAACCTGGCTAATTTTTTTTGTATTTTTAGTAGAGACAGGGTTTCACCATGTTGGCCAACCTAGTCTCAAACTCCTGACCCCCAAGCAATCTGCCTGCCTCGGCCTCCCAAAGTGCTGGGATTACAAGCATAAGCCAACATGCCTGGCCTGTGGTCAACTTTTAAGTAACAATGTATTTCATAAAAAGTGGACAAAATGCTCAAAAGCATTTTTATTTCTATAACAATCCCTTGAAAATGCTTACACTCTGATCTATTCTTCATTTCAACAGCACTTAGGTAGTTTCTTTTTTGTTTTTTTCTTCCCCCAATAGAGGCCTACATTTGAATATATATCCATTTATAATTATTTTCTCTTTCTGTCCCACATGTAAGTTTTACCACACCTTCCAAGAATTAAAAACACACAACTTCATTTCTTCTCAACAGTAACTGCACAGTCATTTTTAAAGAGTATTTTTTTAGTATCTGCTGAAATGCATGGCGTCTTCTCACTTTCTCAGTTTTAAACCATATAACACTGTATTACTGCACTACTGGCACAAATGTTTAATGGAAAAGTATAACTGTTATTCCATCATCTAATTTTTTTCCGGTTTGATACTATCATAGTACAATCACCACATTAAATTCCTACAACAGTTTGCTGTTAATAATCTCAAACCAACTTTATGGACACACTATCCCAATTAGCATCCTGGTTAGAAGGAAAGCACTTAATACATATATGTATTATATATTTTATGGATAAAGAAACCACAGCAGCAAGCAAGTTACTCAATATGACAATCAGTTGAGATGACATCAGAAACTTCATTTCTCGACCTTCTGTTTCAAGTGTAAAATAAAATTACTTCATGAATATTTGTCAAGAGATCCACAAACAAAAAAGTTTTAATTATCCAACAAGTGCGACACTGAAATTATCAGCAAATGACTTCTGAAATTAGGTTGCCTTCTCCCTAATGGAACCTATTCAATTTTTTTTTTTGTCCTCCATAACATTTTCACTATTTCCTATCTAAAATTTTAAACAGCCTTATGCAATATTTTCTCACTTTGCACAGCAAATGCCTTTTGTGTATGACACATATAATCTTAATTTTCCCCTTTTCTATAAATATATATCATGTCACCAAGTATACCACCTATATTAAGAGTTCACAACAACAATCTCTCTTTAGTCAATTTCCTGTTTGTATCACTTAAACCAGGAGCCTTTTAGCAAAAATTATCCTCTTCCTTTTTATCACCTATCTAGTTCCTTTTTCCCCTCAAGTCTTAGAACTTTGAAAGATCTGAAATATTATTCTTACTCATTTTTCTGATATTTATACCACTGATCTTTCAACTTTTGCAACCAACTTCTCAACTTCATTATCTTTCAAAGAGCTTTACTGCACATATTATCAAAAATAACTCAATGAACATTTTTTGAGCACCAGTAATGTTCAAGCAAATAATTCCAAAATAACAGAGTACTCATTAAGACAGAAGCATGTCCTGGATGCTAGAAAAGCACTTGGTCTTAGCTAGAGGCCAGGAAAAGGATTCTCCAGCAAGCAGCTCTTTAGCTAAATCTTTCAATACCAGAATATATTAGGCTAGGGAGGAAAAGGCCAGAGTGCATTCAAACAGAAGGAACAGCACAGGTAAAGACAGAGAAATTAAATAGCACTGAGTACATGAGAACTTCAAGCCATTCTGTATTATCATAGTATTGAATGACAGGAGAAAAACAGTGAAAAACGAGGCTAAAAATGTGGATGGGGGCCAGGTCAGTTTGCCTTGAACTTAGACGTTAAATGGGTCTGTCATACGTATGCAACAAAAATTATCCCATCACCTATTAACTGAGATAGGAATATTCTAGTTTCCTCTGATACCAGATCATCTGTGTATCTTGAAAACCAGAAATTAAAATATTTTATCAATAAGCATTAATAAACCTCCATGTAAATGAGCTCTTTTCGGGTTGCTTTCTAACTTTGAGAATGTCTATAAACAAAATAAATTCTCTCCAAATATGTTAATAATCAAACTTTGCAAATCCATAATGTATAAAAATAACTATTTTTTATGTAGCACAATTATTAATCTATGAGATATGATGGTAACTGAACATATTTTGAAAAACTGTGTGCTACACAAGTATAAAGTATTCATATTATGAAGAAAACTTGAAGTCCCACATACAGTCTTCCACATGTATCTATTTGTGTGTATCTTAAGAATGCTTTTCCCTAGTTTTCTTTTTCGGGATGAAAAGCAATTTTGTTACACATTAATAAACTTCTTCACCAAAGCTTTATTTGAAAGCAGGGGGAAAGGGAAGGAAAATTTTATTAAATGGTAAACCTCTCAGTAATTAGAAATAATATTTTAACTTCAAAAGTAATACTAAAACCTCTACCAACACTTAAAATTTACAAAATAACTGTCCCCATTAAAAATTCTAGTTGTTCCTTTTATGATTATATATCTGCAGCTATTCCATATTTCAAAACAATAAATACTATATGAAATGCTCTAAGAAAAAACTATATAACTTAGATAAAATCTTTTCCTTATAATCTGAAAAAGATAATATATGCTCCTTTCAACTATACTAAAAAGAACTAACGTTAATAGAGTTCTTTTTTGATATTTACCTTTGGTTAAGGAAACTTAATATATTATACCAAGGAAGATTTGTCAGTGTATTTCTATTAAAATAATAAGAAAGGAAAGAAAACTTACTTGTATCTGCTTGGCTTCCCACACTGATATATCTATCATTGCCAGGAAGGGCTGTTTGGTAGTAAGTTGTCTCCTCCTGCTGAGGGGTCTTAGCATTCTTCGCAGTAAGGAAAGCCACTGCTAATTCCAAGTTTCCATTACTATCCTTCAAATATCAAGAAAGGAATATCAAATGTTTTGAAATAATTTTATACATTCTCAAAAAATTTATACAATATTCTCCATAACTAATACTCTCATAATGACAAAACTGCTTTAGATTTGAAAATAATCTATATGTGATTCTAATTTTATAATGTAAATGCATCATAAAGTATACTATATCAACAGTAACACCCTTTTTACTAATTAAAACTGATACAATGTTAAAATCCATCTCTAATTTCTTAGTCTTTCATTACTTCCCTATCTACTTAATAAAAATCAATCACAAACTTGTACTCTTGAACAAAAAAACTAAAAAATGTCTTCTGGAACTTTCCATATGAAAGAGTGCAAAATGAGTATTTAAAATAATACTTCCATAAACAAGGACAATAAAAGATACTCCTTTTAATATGGGTGCTGGATACATTCTTAGGGGCAAACAAGCAAAAGTCAAGGACTCATAGGAAGAAAATGGCAAAATGTACTGAATGGCTTAATAATATGGAGAGACACACAGAACTCTAGACAGAAATACTCAATACTGTCAAGATGACAATCCTACCCAAATATATACATTTTACATAGTTCTCATCAAAAGCACACCTGAATAAAATGATTCTAAAGTTCATCTAGAAGATAGCAGACGCCAGAAAAAGAATTTTTCAAACAGCAAAATAAAGAGAGTCTTGCCCAGTTACATCTTTATATTCTCTGCAGGGTTGACAACCAAAGAATGCTCGCTAAGACAGTTACCTGAAACAACACGAAACCCAGATATTCATAATCAAGCTATCTTTGTAACAGAAAACCAGAACATAAAAGGTTCTGTAGGTTTCCTAAGAACTTAGACATGCACATGGGTGTAATAAGAAGCCAGTGGAGTGTTCTGGAAAGGAATGACATAGTATGAAATTTTAAAAGGTTCACTCTGACTATATATTAAGAATAGACTACAGGAGAGAAAGGGCAGAAGGGAGTCCAATATTATTGCTATCATATTAAATGTGGGATGTGACAGTAGGATCAGGATGATTCCAAAATTTAAGGACTGAGCAGCTGGCAGAATAAAGTCCCCAAAACCTACCCCAATTCCAATTCTAGCAGTCAGTGATGACAGAAGTAAGAGTACAGTTTCAAAAGCACCACTGCTTTCAAGTATGCTATCTGTCATGAGCATTAGGAGATTCCTAAGTGACTCATCCAAAATGGAAGATATGCTATTGTTAAATAAGTAAACCAATCATAAATCTCAATGACAGCTAACATTTATTAAGCACATACTATATGCCAAGAAATATGTTTCTCATATAATAATTAAAAAAAAAACTAACACAGCAGGAATTTACACAAATTTAAGTTCATTTACTTTTTAGAGCTAAAATACGTTTTCAAATTAAAAGTACTGAAATTAATCATGGATGGTGCCCAAAAGCAGACTTCTTGTCAGTTTGTTACTAAAATAGTCAACTCATGATGAAACATCTTAGAAATTTATAATGGGCAACAATTAAGGTTTAAATACACTCTTTTACCACAGCTACTGGTAACCGAAACAAACAGTTTGGAAAAATTAAAATTTAAAATTAAAAAGAAAAAAAAACCTATGCACACACAGCTTACATCACAGGAAATGCAGATAAGACTTAATTGGAGCTATGTATTTCCTAAGTTTAAAAAAAAAAAATGTGAATTCCCCAAATTTGTCCTGGCAAGGTGATAGGCTATGGCCTCACACTGAGTAACATATATGACAAAGGTAGTTTCTCAAAACAGACATGGAATTTAGTGATGATATTTATCAGAATAAAAAAAGACTAGCAATTATCTAAATGTCATAATCATAAAAATTGAGGTAGAACACTTCTGCAGCCTCTCCAAATCCTTAGAGTGGCTTCATACACCCTGCATAAAAGCTCTAACACTACTAGTTCATGATATTCCTGAGGGGGAAATAAGGTGAAGCAAAGCTTCTAGTAAAAGAGGCATAAATTAAGTCTGCCACCTTGGGATCAGGCTGACTCGGTTTCTATTCCAAGCTTTTCCACATACGGGCTGTGTGATCTTGGGCAAGTTACCTTAACTTCTCTGTTGCCTCATCTTTTCGAAAGGGGGATGAAACTAATACTTATTCATAGAGTTGTTATTAGGATGAGCTAGCCCACATAAAGTACTTAAAATACTGCCTGGTAGTACTAAAAGTTTAATCAGTACTAATTATTATTATAATAACTTTTATTACAATCACCTAATAGATTATTTCTAAAAAACAGATAAAAAACTTCTAGCTTGAAACCAAGTTCCAAAGGATTGGAGCTGTGTATATGACTGTAATGGCAAAAATGCTATATTGTGTTTAGCTTATAGTAGTAATATTCAAATAAGCTTAAAATACTGTACAGTTCAGTTTCTTAAATAGCTTTCATTCACTTCTTCATAATGAGTATACATGTGATATGACTCATTTGGATGCCCGTGTGAAAATGAAGGTACAACTAAGATATGACCAAAATGATGCATTTTAGTTGTTGCCTACGGTGAGGAGTTTAGTTGTTGCCTACGGTGAGGAGTTTAGTTGTTGCCTACGGTGAGGAGTTTGAAATTGAATGTTTTTAACTTAGGGTGTAATTAGCTGAATAGATGCAAATTTATATTTCTGCTTCTCAGGAGAAGAAAAAATGTAAACTTTAGGCCTTTTATTAATTTTCTATTTTCCCCTTTGCTTACACCTCTTCCTCTAATACACCCCACCTTGCACCCTCATTTAAACTCTAAAATCACAGCTCTTAAAAGTAAAACCATTCTGCACAAAAAGCATTTCATATATAGAAAGAAACTATCTGTCACTCTAAGGTATCATGGACATCAGACTGCTAAAAACTAACATGCTCAAAACTGCAATAAGTTAATTGAGGATTTTACTTTACAAAAGTCCATTCCCATATCTCTAAAACTACCACAAGGTTTAATAAAAGTAAAAAATAAAAAACTTCAACTATCAAATACAACACACACTAGAGATAAGCATAAACCACAAACTGTGTATCATAAAACAGAGGCCATACCTTCAAGGCTTGCTGTAGTATCTGGGTGTCATTAATCCCGGTAATTTCTCTCAGTTGATTCAAAAATGTCTGCTGGTGCTAGAGGGAGGAAAAAACCAAAATCATTATATTCTCAACTCTGAAAATATACAAGGGAAAGAAAACAAATGACCTCTGGTTTTCCAAACAAACCAACAGAATAAACTAGGATAAAAAAGGAAAATGAACTTAAGAAACACCAAGCAACTTCCTCCTTCTAGAAAGAACGAATCATGCTGTGGAGAACCCTTATGTTATTCTCAAGTTTCGAAAGGTAACGTCCGTACATTACTCCCCAATAAGTCTTACTGAATTAGCAGTTTCCGTCCTATTCTTCACCCCCTCATTTATGCCACCTAACAAGAAAAGCGGTCATATCTATGACGGTTAAGCACAAGGAGAGAAACACCTTTGAAAAAGACATGCTTTTGGTAGGACATAATTATACCATGGAGATCCTCAGATCTCCTTAAAAAAGAGGGTAATTTCACTGTCCAATCTGTCATAAAAGAGTATAAACTGAATAGATCTTTGCCCCCATTTGCTCCAGTTCTTTATATGCTATTGGCCTATAAAATTGATTACATATTACATTGCACTGGAGGGAAAAAGAGGTAGAGAGAATTTCACTATCAAACTCTCCCCTCATGGCCCCTAAATAAAAACCAACTTCCTCCCCACATCTCTGTATTTCTCAAATTTCCCAACACTATAAAACAGTACCATGAAATACATAAATCACAATGGATACTATAGGAAAAGCAAACCTAATCAATACAATAGATTAGGATCTACTGAAATTTTTTTTAAAAAGATGTTTTACATTTATCCCAATCATAATTCAGTCAGGAAACTTCAATGGATACTAAAACTACTGAATGAAAGTTGGATCAGGAACAGAATATTTACATCATTTTAAATTCTATTCCTATAAATTATAAATAGAGAAAGAATAACTTTATTGTGTTAACAGTAGCGAACCCATAAGAATTTGACCAAGAGACATAAGGCAGAGTGAGAGACCAAGACAAGCTTTTAGAGCAGAAGTGTAAGTGTATTAAAAAGCTTTACAGAAGGAATGAAATGAAGTAAAGTACACTTGGAAGAGGACCAAGTGGGCACCTTTAAAGATCAAGTGAACAGTTTGACCTTTGACTTGAGGTTTTATACCTCAAGTATAAACCCTGGCATGCTTCCAGGGTTTGCGTTTCTTCTCCCCTAATTCTTCCCATGGGGTGGGCTGTCCACAGGCACAGTGGCCTGCCAGTACTGGGGAGGGGCTGCATGCACAGTGTGTTTACTGAAATTGTGCACAGCTCATTTGAGGCGTTTCTCCCTTACCAGTTGGGTGTTCCTAGAGGAAGGGCATAGTCAGTTAAACTTCACCATTTTGCCTCTTACTGCATATATGCTTGAGCCCATTCACCCAAATCCTGGGATCTTATCAGGAAGCTGCTGATCATCAGTTTCAGTTGTTTTGTTTTGTTTTGTTTGGAGATGGATTCTCACTCTGTCACCCAGGCTGGAGTGAATGCAGTGCAGAGTCGCGATCTCCGCTCACTGAAACCTCCACCTCCCGGGGTCAAGCAATTCTCCTGTCTCAGCTTCCCAAGCAGCTGGAACTACAGGCGCCCACCACTACACCCAGCTAATATTCTTATTTTTAGTAGAGACAGGCTTTCACCATATCGGTCAGGCCGATCTCAATCTCCTGACCTTAGGTGATCCACCTGCCTCAGTCTCCCAAAGTGCTGGGATTATAGGCATGAGCCACCACACCTGGCCTCAGGTGTTTGTCTATTGGGAGACTGGCTGGCACCAGCTGTGACCAATTATTTTAGATAGACTGTTAATAACAGCCTGACCATCGCCTGATGATTGCCTGACATTCCTGGTGGGGAGGTCCTCTCCTGCCTTGCTCATGTCTGATTAGCTATCTACTGTATCAATAGTGCAAAACCTAAGAGTCACCACCTTAACCAAGAGATCCAAGTTATTATTACCAATAAAGGGATAAAATGGCAGCGCATGCCTCCTGATACTCTATAATCTATGATATAGCCCTGCCGAAAATGCACAACCTAAATCTAAGGAAGCATCACACAAACCCAAACTGAGGGATACTGTGAAAATAATTACTCTATTATCTTCAAAAATGGCTATGCCTTGAAAAACAGGTGGAGTCTCCACATTAAAGGAGACTAATCGGGAGCTGACTGTAGCCCATTCCAAATGTTATGCAAAATATTGTTGGTACAACTGGACATTTATAATTTTGGACAGCTTGGTAATGACATTTTATTAATAGTAAATTCTGGAATTTGATAACTCCAGTACAGTACCTCCAGAGAGTATCTTTTTATTAGGAAATATATCCTGAAGAATTTAAGTGATAAAGGGGCATGATGCCTGCAACTTCCTATCAAATGCTTTGGGGAAAAAAGAAGTTACTAAGTTCTGTGTACTAAGTTTGCACTTTTAAATTTGAAATATCAAAATAAAAAGTTTTTAAATGTTCTGCATTCAGCTTTGTTGACATCAAATTGTAAATTGTGCATTTCAAAATATGCTTGACAATTTAAATACTGTAAAATATATATTTTTAGAAATCTAAAAAGTCTAAGAAGTCCTAAACAAATTATATGAAAGGTTTATGATAATGCAGCCCAAATATCTTTTACAGAAACCGTATGTATTAGATAGAAACTACATTCAGCTACATTGACAGATTCCCAACTAAACTGCAGCTCCAACACTCTGGAGTGTCTTTCTTTTCTCACTTAGAAGACACAATGGGCACTCCAGACCTAGTAAGGACACCCAGCATGAAGTCTTTATGTAGAACATTCATCAGAATATGTCTGTCACTCCATGGTCTCCACCTCCACTATCCTGTCCGTCCAAGTTCTAGGTAGGATAAAGGGAAGGGCAAAGGACAAAAGGTGTCTGCCAAATGAATGGGACTCCTTTAACAAGTCCCACTTGCAAACTTCCACTTATAAAAGCCTCACAAAGCACAAAACAGTTGCATGGCAAATCACATCTGCAAAGGAGACTGGGAAATGCATTTTTTGGATAGGCAAAGGCTGCCTGTGAAAATGAAATCAGGGTTATATCATCAAAAAGAAAAGAATGTTTGCTGGATAGGCATTGTCAGTGTCTGCCACACCATCAAAGAACTTTCACTTCCATAAAAATATTTTTACAGAGCTGGGATAACGAAGACTAACAATGCATAATAACGTACACAGAGACATATAAAATACCAGAAAGTATCAAAATTTTGAATAATATAACTGCCAAGTGTACAGACCTGCAATGAGAAAACTAAAATTATCTTTAAACCTATCAGTTTTTATACCAAAAACCAAAAATAAAATTTGAAGCCCCTTCCCTGTCCTGCACCAACCCCCTACCATCTGAATGAACTTCAAGGCACTTTAAAATTTAACCTGAAAGACTGGTTCAGGCCATGACTGTAAGTGGGGGTGAACATGCCTCATTATACCTCTCCAGCATTAACATAAACACAGACCTTAAGTCCAGTAAGAAACATTTTCAGTCTATTCTCTCTAAAGCCTGCTACTTGGAGGCTTCATTTCCATGATAAAAAATGTAGATCTCCACAACCCTTTATCTTAACCCAGACAGTCCCTTCTATTAATAACTCAGCCAGTTGCCAGTCAGAATATGTTTAAATCTACTTATGACCTGGAAGCCACCCTGCGACCTCACTTTAAGTTCTCCCACCCTTCCAGATTGAACCAATGCGAATCTTACAAATTGACTGCTATGTCTCCTTAAAATGTATAAAAGCAAGCTGTACCCCAACCACCTTGGGCAAATGTTGTCAGGACCTCCTGGGGCTGTGTCATGGTCACATACTTAACCCTGGCAAAATAAACTTTCGAAATTGATTGAGATTTGTCTTAGATACTTTTTGGTTTATACTATTTTCATTTAGAAAATTACCAATAACTAGCAATGGAATCATGACTAAGTTATGCAATACCCAATATTATGAATTAAAAGAATAAAAATTTTACAGAAATTATCTTGATTCAATTCGATGTCTTCATTTACTGTAAAATCCTTGATAATTTTTATAAGCCTGTAATCTCACTGCTACCAGCACTCCATACCTGATTTCACACATAAGTATTATTTTCCTCAACTGAAAATTATTCAATCATGGCTCAGAAAAAAATTACTGAGTACCCAAGGAAATTAGTCATTTGTACAAGTGCTGATGGGCATTAATTACAAAAATCAAAAAATGGCTGTGTCCCCAACAAAATCTCAGATTGAGTTGTAGCTCCCTTAATCCCCATGTGTCCTGGGAGGGACCTGGTAGTAGGTAAGTGAATCACGGGGGCGGGTTTTTCCCATGCTGTTCTTGTGAAAGCACATGATTATGAGATCTGGTGGTTTATAAAAGGCAGTTCCCCTGCACACACTGTCTTGCCTGCCACTGTGTAAAATGGGCCTTTGCTTCTCCATTCCCTTCTGCCATGACTGTGAGGCCTCTGCAACCATATGAAACTGCGAGTCCATTAAACTTCTTTTTCTTTATGAATTACCCAGTCTCAGTTACGTCTTTGTTAGCAGCATGATAGCAGACTAATACACTGGGTAATTTACAAAGGAAAGAGATTTAATGGACTCAGGGTTCCACATGGTGGGCAAGGCCTCACAATCATGGCAGAAAGTGAAGGAGGGGCAAAGGCACATCTTACATGGTGGCAGGCAAGAGAGCATCTTCAGGGGAACCACTCTATAAAATCATCACGTCTTGTGACACTTATTATCATGAGAACAGGATGGGGGAACCTGCCCCAATGATCCAATTATTTCCACCTGGTCCTTCCCATGACACACCGGGGATTATGGGAACTACAACTGAAGATGAGATTTGGATGGAGACACAAAGTATACCTATATCACTCATTCTCAGGTATGTTCTTATAGCAGAGAACAGACTAATACAAATATGTATTTTCTTCCACTAAGAAAGTAGTTCTCAAACTTTAATGTATAGAAGGATGGCTTCATGAGTTTGT